ATGCATAAATAAAAACATGAAGACCTAACTGTTAGAAATCCAGAAATTCTCACTCAGCAGGCCTAGAATGAGGCCTGGATACTGCTGGTTTATTTGTAATTTTAAATTCTTTAAATAGATAAATCATGGACATTATAATAAAAATAAATGTTATAAAAAAGGTAATAGTGAAAAGTAGGACTTCTCACTCATATTCAAGTATCTTGTGTGTCCTTCCAGATGTATTCTGTGTATATAAAGAGTGTTAGAAGTTCTTCCCTCTTTTTAAATTTTTTTTTTAATATTTGACAGGTAGAGTTATAGACAGTGAGAGATAGAGAAAGGTCTTCCTTCCACTGGTTCACTCCTCAAATGGCCACTACAGCTGGAGCTACGCCAATCCCAAGCCAGGTGCTTCTTCCTGGTCTCCCACGTGGGTGCAGGAGGCCAAGCACTTGGGCCATCCTCCACTGCCCTCCCGGGCCACAGCAGAGAGCTGGACTGGAAGAGGAGCAACTGGGACTAGAACCTGGTGCCCATATGGGATGCTGGCACCGCAGGCAGAGGATTAACCAAGTGAGTCACAGCGCCAGCCCATTCAGAATGATTTCATCTTTTATTCACCTGTCAGACACAATTAAAAAAAAAAAAAAAGGTCTCTGAAAGATTTTGAAACAAATTCTCCATTTAAAAACAAAAGATTTTTTTATTAGAGACAGAGCAAGCGCCTATCCACTGGTTCACTCTCCAAATGCCCACAGTGGCCAGGGTTGGGCCAGGCAGAAGCTGGGAGCCAGGAACATAATCCAGGTCTCCCATGTGGTTGCCAGGGACCCCAAAACTTGAGACATCAGCTGCTGATCCCCCAGGGCACTCATTAGCAGGAAGCTGGAATCAGGAACAGAGCCAGAAGCTGAACACAGACACTCTGATATGGGATACAGGTGTTCCAACAAGTGTCTTAATTGCTAGGCCAAATGCCTGCTCCCAAGATAACTTTTTTTTTTTTTTTTTTGGACAGGCAGAGTAGACAGTGAGAGAGAGAGACAGAGAGAAAGGTCTTCCTTTTGCCGTTGGTTCACCCTCCAATGGCCGCCGCAGCCGGTGCGACGCACCGCGCTGATCCGAAGGCAGGAGCCAGGTGCTTCTCCTGGTCTCCCATGGGGTGCAGGGCCCAAGCACTTGGGCCATCCTCCACTGCACTCCCTGGCCACAGCAGAGAGCTGGCCTGGAAGAGGGGCAACCGGGACAGAATCCGGCGCCCCGACCGGGACTAGAACCTGGTGTGCCGGCGCCGCTAGGCGGAGGATTAGCCTAGTGAGCCGTGGCGCCAAGCTCCAAGATAACATTTTTAACAACTTGTTTGCAAAAATTCCTGAAAATTTGAACAATTTGTTCTTGTGAGCCTGTATACGCTTATTTTATTTCTTTGAGTTCACATGATGTACCTGATTGTATTTCATAAAAAGAAAATAAAGAACGATGTATTCTCCTTGTTAACTGATATGCATACAGGCCCAAAAACTTCCAAAAAGCTCAACAAGAAAAAAAATAGTAATACTTTAAGAATTTAATTATTGGAAATTTTGAGTGGGTTAGGGAGGGTACAATTAAACACAGGAATCTGTAACTTTTGTTCTATCTGGTCTCCTACTCTGAAGAGCACTTAAATGTTTTTTAGGTTGCACAGTACTATCACAATGAAGTAGGAAATAATCAACAATCATAGAAAAGTGGAAACGAGTTAGTTTAAGCAGATCTGTTGCATTTGATTTATATAGAGGTCTCTTTTTTTGCCAAGTTTTATTACAGCAATTGCATAAAACACTTTCATTGAATTCAGTAATGGACAGTAGGATCCTAAAAGTCATAACGTAATAGGTAGTCTGTCTTCCTCTTTCTCCCGCTCTCCTTTGCCTCTCTAGCACTCTTTCGTTTTCTTCAGTGAGTCACCTTGCACTATGCCCTTGAAGTTTTGGATTTCTTCCAGTTCTTGGTTAGGAAAACTGGCAGAACAGAAAGTAGTGGTGACTGTTAACTAGCCAGTGCCATTCTTTGTTTGGCTGGCGTGGAATCAGTATGCTACTATGATCTCGTTTCTGGTGTGGTGCTTCATTTGAAACATTAACACAGTGGTGCTAAGAACATGGTTTTTGATATTCTATCTGACATTTTAGCTTGATTGCTCAGATTTAGCTACTTAGATATTAATTTCAATTGCGGACACTGCCTCTATAGCCTTAATTTTAAGACCGAGTCAAGGTTTTAAATGACAAGAAAGGAGTTTCTATTTATGCTAGAGATTGTTTAGGTATTAGAAGTTCTATGATTGTTAACCATTCATGGGTGGGACACTGCTACATATGTGCTAAGAAAACTCCCTATATTCCAGGTATTATGTTGATCTAACGCTTTGTTTTTTTGTTTGGCACCACTTTCCTAAAAGTGCTTAAGACATTGCTAATTTTGTGTATGGAATAACCTTTTGCCAATATTTAAAGACAAGAGATTGATTTATGGTTGGATTTTGATGCATCTGGACCAATAAATTATTATATATCCCAGAATGTGCAGTTAACAATTGAGCTTCAGATTCTTCCTTAATAAAGGAATTCATGCAGGGAAAATTTGAAATTGGAAAGGACATTAGCTAAATGCTTTAGATATAAAAAATTATAAGAGGGATTTGAATGAATTAATACATGATAAAATATGCAAAAGAAAATGTAATACTTCAATGGCTTATTATAGATGAGAATTCAACCATATGCCTGAAGATAAAATATATTTAATAAAGGTTTTTTATCATTAATAAAAATATATGGTATAGTAATTGTTTAAGTTGCTAAAGAGCCTGTGCAATTCAAGGCCTTTCACATTTACTCAGTAGAATGTGTGGCTCCAATGTAAAAACACTTGTATGTGGAGAAAGTAGAGTAATATTATTTATTCAATTTTTTAGTGTTGATTACCTTATAAAATGTCATAGGAAATAAAACTGTTTTATTTAATTAATTGCTTGCAAAGTAGCAAAAAGAGATACTTGTTTTGATAGATTTTGTATCATTTATTGATTCAAATTTTGATATGGTAGAAGCATCTGGAATAAACTAATAATAGATTTCTGTCAGGATTATGAGTTCTTTTACCTCTTTTAAGAGATAAAAATTATGTGTTTGAACTTCTTACAAAATGCCTTGTCATGCATCCACAAAGAAAAAAATGATACAAAAAATTTACTCTTCAAATGATTCTCATTATGTGTAAAAAATCACAAGCAGCCCTATAAACTCCTATGCTGATAATATATATGAGGGTACTTCAAAAAGTTTGTGGAAAATAGAATTAAAAGATAACTTTATTTTGGTGCAAAAATTTTTGGAGTCCCTTAAGTTTTTCATAATATGCATTTTTCCATGAACTCTTGGAAGACTCCTTGTATTTTACTTTTGAAAGGGAAAGCATATTTCAGTTATGCTCCTATGTCTTAATTTTTATCTACTTTAGATAACACACATTTTTAGTACTGGAGTGATTCTAAGTAATGAGACCTGCAGTTAATAAATATAGTTTCCACTACTAATTAATGTTACTTGTGTTTGCTAAACATTCATAAAGTCTAGTGAGCCACTGAGAGAGACGAGGAGAGGAGAGAAGGGGATAGGAGAGGAGAGAGGGAGTCGATAGTGCTAGGTGACATAAATAACCTGGAAGAAATTCTATATGAAATAGTGTCTGTATAGAAAAATATCAGAAGATGTTCAGTTGAGGCTTCCCAGACTTTCACTGTATGGCACAAATACACATTTAAAAATTGGCCATAACCCAGTTGAAGAAGAGTGTATGCTCAAGCTGGCCTCAGAGAACGACAGCAAAGAATTTAGTCAGCGCGGTGCCAGGTGTGTCAGGAGAGCTCCTGCTGTTTGGCTCCACCCCCAGGGGCAGCGGCTAGGCAAGGACCCGCGGAAACGGGCAGGGGACTGGGGCCCCTGTGCAGGCCGGGCAAGCGAGGAGTCGGAAATGCAGACCCAGAGCCTGGAGCCCAGCAGTCAGCACGCCCCGAGGAGCGCTGTATTAGTTGACTGGATTGCAAAGTGTGTGTGTGTGTTTTAGGAGGGAAGCAATTAATACTAAAGCATATGTTGGGGAGTTGCTAACCATACTGTGCCCGACATCCACCCAGCACCAGCCCAACTTGTTGACGGAGCGAGGCAGAGAAGGAACTCTGCGGTTTCTCCTCCAAGGCTCCCATTTTCTGAAGTGACAGACCCCAGATGCTCGAAAGGGTCGTCTGGCTGCCACCCAACCCCCATCCACGAAGAGCCCACTCCCGGGCATCGGACAAGCTCCTGGTCCCCCGCGGGCGACAGCCGGGCTCACGTTAGTCCACATCTTCCATTTCAGGTCATGGCAACATTCAACATTGCCAAACCATTACTGGGCATTTTGTTTCTTTTTATGATTTCTTGACAAACCTTAATAAAAAATATTTTAAATTAAAAAGAGTATCAGGTAGGTAGCAATGGAATTTGACATTCAGCCTCTACACATTGTGGTGATTCCCAAGAAACGTGAGGTGGCAAATCAGGCTCGAACTGAGAGATCCTCTTAACCACTTGTTTTTAATTACAGTTATTTTAAAACACACACACACACCACACACACAATTCTCTAATTCCAAGGCTTTTGTGGAGTTAAGAGGCAGGAAAGGTGTAGACTGGAGTTGCTTCGCCTACTGGGGCTCAGAGCAGAGGTGAGGTAACAGGGGCAGTGGGCGTCTTTTCCTTTCCTCCCTTTCCATCTGGGAGACAGGGATCCGAGCGGCGGCGACGGAAGGGACTGTCCGCGTCCCGAGGGGCAGGCGGCCAGAGACCCCACGCGTGACAGGGGCTGACGGCAGACACGTTCGCGCGCGGACCCCTCCGACTGCGGCCAGCCGCGCGCGGGTCCGCCCCGATCCCACAGTGCACCGCGTCTTGCCCCCTCCCGGCTCGGCGTCCCGCCTCCCCTCGGCCCCGGCCCCCCCCCCCCCCCCCCGACTCCGGGAGGCGGGGACGCGGCGGCGGCTTCTCCAGTCGCGTCTTTCTCACTCACTGGGGAGCCCGGCGCTGGCGGCAGCTTTCGAGGCAGAGCCGCTGAGCCGCGCGCCCGCCAGGCAGCGAGCGGGAGGTCGGACAGACTGACGGCGGAGCCGACGAACGGACAGCGGGGCAGCCAGACGGTCCGAGCCGCCTCGGGTTCCGCCATGAGCTGGGGCACGGAGCTGTGGGTGAGTCGGGGAGCGGTGCGCCCCGCGACGACCGTGGCTCCCGGGAGGCGCGGGCTGGGCGGGCGCCGCTGACCGTCGGCGGCCAGGGCGCCTTGGGCCGTCCGCGCCCCGGCGCCGGCGGAGGGTGAGGGTCCACGCTCGTCTTTGTGTGCAGACCTCGCCGGGGGGTCGAGGGGGCGGTAGCTGGCGCGCCCGCCCCTGCCGCTGCCGCGGGGTTCTGGGGCAGCGCCCCGCACTGTCGGCGGGGCGGCCCGCGGGCTCGGCGTCCGCCGCGATCCTCTCCTTCCCTTTTCCCTCCTCCGCCTTCACTTTCCGGGCGCCTGGCTCCGCGCCGGGCCGCGCTTCTCTCCCTTTGTATCTCCCCGCCTGGAGGCGGGGGAGGGGGCCCATTGTCCCGAAGGGGCGCTGTTCGCGAGTGGGGAAGGGGCCTGCCGCGACCCCCCTCGCGGCCAGGGGCCGCAGGGCTGAGGCGTCGCCGAGCCGGGACGGCGCGGGGAGCCGGGAGGCGCCGCCCCAGCCCCAGGTAAGGGGAGCTGGGCGGCTTTGTTCGCAGCCCGGCCTCCGGCCAGCCAGGCCCAAGCTACACGCCCATTCCCCTCCCTGCCCCCGTGCTCGGGACGGGCAGAGCTTAGGGGGCACTCGGCTGGTGGGCCGGGGACCTGAATGAAATCGGGCGTCGACTGATTTTGCCAGAAGGAAGCTAATGCTGCCTAAAGGAGCCGCTCGGCTCTCCGGTTGCTCTATTCCCCATTCGGTCTTTATTTCGCCCCTTTTCCTTTTCTCTTTCCGCCTTGCCTGTCTTGAGCGCTGGAGGCTCCAGACAATGCCCGTGGTCTGGCCAAGGTGCGGGTGGGGCGTGATAGGTCGGAGGACCGGCCGCCGCCAAGCAGGGTGGAGGTGCGGCGGGCAGTGATTTCTCTGGTGCGGCGGGGGAAGCCGGCGGCGTGGGGGCGCTGTCCCGGGGGCGGCCCGGCCTCAGCCACTCCCCTTTTTATCCCACCTGTGCATATTTTCCGTGCCTTTTGTTTGCGAGGATCTGGTGAAATCACTGCAGAGAAAGGGGAGAGAGAGCTTGCACTTGTGCGAGTCTGTGCATTGTTAGGGTGGGAGTGAGAGCAGGTCGATCGATTGAAGGGCAGAATGATTTCGTATTTTTCACCTCACTCGCAGCCTGTGGAATTTAGAGCTGAAAGAGTTCCTCGTGTGAGACACCTCCTTAGCGGCCACATCAGCCTGCTGCAGGATTCTGGACAAGTGCTTGTCGGTTTGTAAGCACAGCACGATGCCTGGAGAGCCTCTCTGTTTTGTAGATAACATTAATTGTTCGTATGTTGGGGAGCATTGTAGAGTAAATGGGCTATGTAACTTTAACTTTTATATTGACTGGGTTCTCAAGCAATATTGATCATTTCCCTTTTGCTTTGTGTAATCATTGATTATAGTGTGTCATCCATGAAAGAAGGTGGCATAACTTTATTTTATGTTTCTTTATAGTTTGAAAATATTTTTACCACTACATACTTAAATTATCCACACTTCCAGGAAGCTAAAGTGTGAACAGAACACTTTTTAAAGATACATATAGGAAAATAATGCAGGATTGTTATTTAGATTTAACTTTTCATTTAGATTTTTTTCCCTTAAATTCACTTTGTGACACACTATAGATAAAGTGTTAAGGAAAAACAATAATAGTGAAGACTAAAATGCAGTTTTTAAAGCATTTTTTCTTTACAGTTTAAGGATTAAGAAACTATTGTAGTCCATGGGTGTCTCCTGTAATTTATTTACTTTGAGCATTTAGATAATTTCTCAGCAGTTTGAAAAGGTTAATTTAGAAGTGATGGGAATTTCTGTTCTGATTAAGATTTGTTTTATATCTTTTGGAAATCCTGAAAAATGATTTTTAGTTTTTCTTTCCAAATTTATGTATCTGTATTTTAAAATCCCTAGTGGTTTGGAAACTCAAGGGAACTATATGTTAGAGACTACATTACATAGACTCAGCTAATATCAACTCCATGTCTCAACCTTAGATAAGTAGTACTTGGCATAGAGGACTATTGTTGGGAGTACAATAAACCTTAGAGAAATCTGATTAGACTTCCTGTTTTTACTGTTCTCTGTTTTGAATAGGATATTATGCTTCCAGTGGATTGTAATTTAATACAAGCACCTATACTGTCTGATGCCAATGAGGAATTTGGTATTGGGTAAATTCTCTTAAAATTTTGAATTTAGGAACCAATTCTAATATTATTTCATGTCTAGGATCACATTACAGTCCGAGAGCCTAATTATTGAGAATATGTTGTTGCAAAGAAGGATGGTATACAGTTGTGCACTCAAATTTAAGTCTGTTGTTAGTAATCATTGGAGTTTTTATTGCTTTTTTTAATGATTCTTAAGTCTTGTTTGAGAATAAAAAAACTCAATAGAACTACTTTAATACTGAGTGTCCATGGGTATGACTATCAAGTGATAGGCTAATCTTACTAGTTAAAGTGATCAGTTTAAGTTTATAACTGATCATAAAGATAGGATTAAGTATCAAAAGGATCACATAAATAAGATCTGTGTTTGCTAATAATTTGATAGAATTAAAAAGGAGAGAATGAGCCAACATGGGAAGTGGGATACACTGCAGACTCATAGAATGACAGATGCCCTGAACAGCACTCTGGCCTCAGAATCAGCCCTTAAGGCATTCGGATCTGGCTAAAAAGTGTGTGAGAGTATCTCAGGCATGGAAAGCCAAGACACTGTGGTAAAAAATGACCTAATGAAAGATCTCTATGAGTGAGATCTCCGTGGAAAGAAGGGGCCATCAAAGAACGAGGTACCTTTCTCTGAAGGGAGGAGAGAACTTCCACTTTGATTATGGCCTTGTCTAAATAAGGTCAGAGTTGGTGAACTCAAGAGGCTTCCATAGCCTTTGCAGCTCATGACAAGAGCCTCAGGTGATTACTGACATTATAAATAAGAGTGTCAATTGTTAAGTCAACAACAGGAGTCACTGTGCACTTGCTACCCATGTAGGATCTTTGTCCTTAATGTGTTATACTATGAGAATTAACGGTAAAACTAGTCTTCAAACAGTACTTTATACTTTGTGTTTCTGTGTGGCTGCAAATTGTTGAAATCTTTACTTAGTATAGAGTTGATCTTCTGTATATAAAGATAATTAAAAATGAATCTTAATGAAGAATGGTATTGGAGAGGGAGTAGGAGATGGGATGGCTTGCAGGTGGGAGGGTGGTTATGGGGGGAAGAACCGCTATAATCTGAAAGTTTTACTTTTGAAATTTATTAAATAAAAGTTTTCTTTAAGAAAAAAGTGATAGGCTAAGTGGGTCTGGTCAGATTTTGAGCATTTATAAGGGGTTGTGAATTAACTGGTGATGAATTTGAGCAGTGCTTTAAGGGATTTCTAGTATTCCAAATGAGTGTTTAAGTCTGTAGTGAATGAATATATACGGTCTGTGTCCTGGGTCAGACCAAAGAGATGACTGTGTAGTTTTTCAAGGTGCTAGGTAAATTATATGGTAATATCCTGGACATGGATTGTTGGGTTGATTTCCTTACTAAGATAGAATAGTTGGGTCAGAAAGAGGGTCAGATCTGAACTAATAATTTCATACAGCCCAGGTTTTGTAATTATTAGCTCTTTTACAAATAAGGGAATTAGAAATTAAAGAAGTCCTGTGTTAATAAGTTTTACTTAATAGGAGATAACTTTGTAGGTTTCTCAGAAGCCAATTAAAGTTGAACAGAAGAAAAAATCTGTGTGTAGGTATGTATATGTAGATACGGAAAAAGATATGGTGTGGTACATCATGTTTATGTGATTTAGTACAGAATATGCTAACGTGGGTTGAGTGTTGTGGCCTAGTGGGCCAACCTGCATTCCGTATAAGAGTGCCAGTTCCGGTCCTGTCTCCTCTACTTCCAATCCAACTTCCTGCGAATATGCCTGGGAAGGCAGTGCATAATGGCCCAACTACTTGAGTCTTTGCCACCTATGTGGGGGAACCAGATGCAGTTCAAGCTCCTTCCTTTGGCCTGGGCATTTGGGGAATGAACCAACAGATGGAAGGGCTCTCTCTCTGTCTCTCCTATCTCCTCTTCTCTTTCAAAGAAATCTACCTATTAAAATAATTTGCTGCCCAAGGGAAATAAAATGACTAGTTAGGGAGTCAGAAGGTAGACTGAAATATCTGATTTAATATATAAGATCATATAAACCTTTTTAATGTCTTGATTTCCTGGTCTTATAATCATAGTTTTAAGTGTGTGTAATTTGGGGGAAGGTGATTTGGCACAGTGGATAAAACACTGCCCATTTGGGCGCTGATTTGAGTCCCAGATGTTCCACTTCAATCCAGCTCCGAACTAATGTGCCTGGGAAGGCAGTGGAGGATAGCCCAAGTACTTGGGCCCCTGCACCCATGTGGGAGACCTGAAAGAGGCTACTGGCTCCTGGCTGCCGACTGCCCCAACTCTAGCTGATGTGGCCATTTGGGGAGTGAACCAGTAGATGGAAGATCTCTGTCCTCTCTCTCTAACTCTGCCTTTCAAATAGATATTTTTTTAAAAAATGTTTTATTCATTTGAGAGGTAGAATTACAGGCAGAGAGAGAGGGAGAGACGGGTCTTCCATCTGCTGGTTCATTCCTCAAATGGCAGCAATGGCCAGAGTTGGGCTGATCTGGAGCCAGGAGCCTCTTCTGGGTCTCCCACACAGGTGCAGGGGCCCCGGCTCTTGGGTCATCTTCTGCTTTCCCAGGCCATAAGCAGAGAGCTGGATCAGAAAAGGAGCAGCCACAGACACGAACTGGCACTCAGATGGTATATCTGCCACAGGCAGAGGCTCAGCCTACTATGTCACAATGCTGGCCCCTAAATAAATCTTTAAAAAAGAATGTGTAATTGGGAAGCGATTGTTATTTTCATCATATTATTAGCTAAATGCATTTGATACAGTTTGTACTATCTTTTTA